AGTCTTAATGTTTTGATCATTTTTATAAAGCTTAACAAAAAACATAAAGCTTAATTAAGATATACTAAAATATTTACACTTAAAGATATTGAAATAAATAATATTTGTATATCTTTTGATCATTTTTACATATTAAAATATATATATTATTTTTGTACGTTTGTAGATATTGAAAATCATATGATTTGTCATACATATTTAAATATTCAAAAATATATATGTTAAAAATCGATTAGTCAACTTAATTATTTATTCTGTGCTTTTGCGCCGGTCAAAATCTAGTTAATATAACATTTATAAAAAACTTTTAAGAGAACCTATACCATTACATTAACCATGCTCTAAGGTGTGTAGCATTGACTGTGGTTTGACTCAATAGTGTAAAAGAGAGTGTTATTAGCTGGCGATGCCGACCCTTTCCCTGACCCCACGTGCTTTTTCTGCATCTCTTTCGTTCTCGTTATATTATTATTCATATTTACAACTAAATTGTGTTAGTATATACATATAAAGAGAGACCAAAATATACAATTTTTTCTTATCGATTTTTGTATGTTTGTTTGCTCTTGCTTACGTGAATGTAAGGTGCTAATCATTAAATGTTGATTCAATTAGTGTGAAATCACATTTTAATCATGATCTAAGCCATTGCTATTTTTTCACCCAATTTTTGTTCTCTCTGTGTTACTGTATAAAAAAGATTAAGATCATACGAAAATGTAATAGCATCCACAATGGTTGGGATTCTAAAATGGATATCTAATGTATTTAATATTAGTTTTTCAATATTATGTAATTATTGAGTTAAATTTTAATATCTAAAATAAATTGAACAAATGACAAAACTACAAATGGTATTTGAGTATCTAGTGGGTTTGTAGAGGTAGAACCCTATTTCACTTTCTCTCGTATTTTTTTTGTTTATTGTTTAGGATATTCTAAGAAGATTCTATTTGCTCTCCATGATTAGTTTCGTAGTAATTAATAATTAAGAATTAAGAATTATTTGTTCGTTTTGATAATTTGATGTAGCTTTCTACGTACTTCTGTTTTTTCAAGCATTTTTATTATTTTTATTTTTTCTTCTTCACCGCTTGTCAATCACATGGTTCGAAGAGCGCTTTTCTCAGGTGTTGAGTGGCAAATGGAGTTCTGCCACGTGTCTTAACGCTGCTCTCTTCCTCATGACTGGTCAAAGCTAGTTTTCTCTTTTATCCTCCAAAATATTTTAAATGATTATTAAGGTTTCTACATACAAATTAAA